TTGTAATGCGCTGCTTCTATTTTCTTTCTCGATGCCCTTTGTCTCTTACACCGTCTCAAGTGACTGGTTTCGGCCGCATCTGTCCCGCCACAGCCCGACGTATCATCACCTCGGAGCGTGCTGTGGAGTTGGACATGCGGGTTTCGGCACACCGTCACTGCACCTCCGCTATCAACAATCACATCACGCCAGATGCTGCATCTCGAGCACACGGCTAAAGAGAAGATCACACACGAGCGATCATGCATGGCATGGATGAAGTTCTTGATAACGGTGGAGAAGATCGAGTGTTACAAATCGGTCACAAGGAAACGGAATTACAAACATAGCATCCATATGTAGCTGCTATCGCTTGCTGATGAGTTGCAGCGGCACTACTCTCCCATCGAGCCATTGCCTAACGCAGTAACCGCTACTCTTCTCCGCGAATGTTGCAAATAGCATCGAGGTGAGAAAAAAGCTTGGCCGCACTAAGTGGTCTCGGCCCTCGTTCCATCTTATTCTGCAAACCCGTCTCAGACAAACAAGTTCGCACGCTTTGTGCTGGTCTGCGGTGTGTTGTAAGCATTTTGATTTCAGACTAGGTGTTCGTGCACGTTTCGTTTCAAGCTACTTTTTATGCCTTTTTCTTCTTCTACTCCAGCATACAAGCTGCGTTTTAAGAAACGGGAGCATAAATCAACATGGTTTTGGTGTCGGTATGTGTGTAAATATAGAACAAAGAAAAAACGCAATCCCCATGATTTCCAACCGGCAGCTGCCCTTATCAGACAATGCGCCTCTATCTCCGGCCGGAGAAGCACAAGAACAGTTACATACATACATTCTGTACTACGCATGGTCGCGTGGTCCCCTAGTCCACTCGATGATGCGAGACTGAGAGCGAGATACGTGTATCAAACCGGCCACTTGACTCGCTGCATCCGGCTCGCGGAACAATGCAAAGATCAAAAAAGAAGCTGAGTCGCACAGAGCTTTCCCCTTCAGAGCCGGTCGGCTGCAGAAGCACATGTCCATGGAACAATGAATATGTCATGCCCACCCTCTTTGGCGCTTTCTCACAAAAAAAAACCAACCCCTGCTGGAAACGCGGGAATCTCGGGCGGGCATGCAGCTCCCAGCATCTGCGCCTAGACTCAAAGCAGTTCGACTTGCTGCTGCAGCGGCTCGTCCACCTGGTGCCAATTCGCAAAAAAAAAGACACACATTGAACAAGGCATCAGCGTCGAGCTACTGTAAAGATTTCTAACACTAACCGCGGCTACTGCGCGCGCGGGCTGAGCGAAGAGAGAGAACCGAGAGGAAGAAGGCTATGACGACATCGAGCAGCTACCGCCCCGATGCGTAGAATTCCAGCCAGCTTCTGTACTAAAGTACTGCTATTTTTTTTTTGCCCCGTGGGCGAGGCTGGGCGACGAATAAGAGTCCGCGGAGTCGGGCGGATCATCTCCTCCCCAAGGCCCTTTCTCTCACGGCCCGGGGCAAAGATGGCATACCGCGGCGCAAGTCTCGATGGATGGATGATGCGCTTTGGGATGCAAATCGGGTAACGAGCCAAGATCCGGGATTTTCGCTATCGTTTAACGAGATTTGCTGCTTTGTACTGTACTTGTACTTTGCACGCGCTGGTCGAGCTTCACTTGCGGCGGCTTGCTCTCCAGGTTCTTTTAGCGAGCGCATCCCTTGTCTCTGCTCCGCAACTCATCAAAATCCCCCATGAGACAGACAGACTGACACTGACAGACAGCTTAAACGAGCGCTACAAGAATCACATTTGCGATGAAAGTGACGACACCGCAGCTCTGTAGCTTGCTTGTCCACCATCACGTCAGCTCAGCTCAGCAGGATCGGGGGGAGCCTCTATTTGCGCCTCGTCCAGCCTGTCCAAATGCAGCGAACTCTATATACGCTGCACTGCGCCTCTTTTTTTTTGCCATCGCCGTCTCTCTTTACCCAATTGCGTATTCTGCTAGCTCTAGTCATGCGTCGTACCTTATTTCGAGCTACAAGTATGGCCTAGCCTTGTATGCTGCAACACTATTTACACGTTCAAGTGTCAACGATTTCAAGCATCGTGAGCACCAGTTTCTGTTGACTTGAGCAGGGAGATTGGTAAATTTCTTTTGACCCCATGTTCGATCACATCACACCACTTGGCAATGGCTGGAAATGGCCAGATCCGCCCGCTCCGATAGGCTAGGAGCCATTTTAGTCACGAAAGAAAAAGAGCACTGAGAGGAAAGCGAAGCGGGCCAGTCTAAAGTCTCCGATGGAGACGATGGCTCGCTTCGCCTTTGAACTAAGAGAAAAAAAAAATCCATCTTGATCGGTCGGTAAACGGTTGAAGTGCGATGGCAGCAATTCAATGGACCCATCCAGACTCATAAGCCGAGATTGTCACTCTAGAGGAGAAGAAAAAAAGAGGCTCTCTTTTCTGTGCCGTTGCCGTTGCCGTTGCTGCTGCTGTTACTGCATGTACATGCAAGGAGAATCGCCACACGAATCACACCACGATCCATGCGCTCTGTTTCCCCCAGGCCTATTCGGCTTACATGTGCAATTTGTTGGAGCGTAGCGGCGTTCTAATGAAAGGGACCACTCACCTTTGTGCCGTGTGCTCAATCTTCCTCAATTTCTTGGCAAGGGAAGAAGCAAAGAAACGATACTAACCAACAAAAATACGTACAAAGTACTTACATGCGCCGCGATCTCAGAAACCCCCATCGCCGCGCCAAAAGCCACGATCCTTGCTCAAAGCCTGGCACCCCTTACCTTGTTGCTGTGTCTGTTTTCAGTATAGAGCAGCGCTTTGGTTAATTGCGTTTCTAGGTACTATTTGCTGGGCCAGTTTCACGAGAGGGGCCCTAAATGCTGATGGCCTCGTAAGATGTTTCCTTATTCGAACCTCGCAACCCCATCTCAATGGATACTATTGCCACAAAATAGTATCCCAGAGTATTACGCCTGACAAGATGCAGAGTAAGTAATAGAACCGCCCGCTTCCGTTGTAAAATTGACTACAACTCTCCCTCCATACGGGAAGCGCCTCAGCCCAACGCCTTGCATATCGCACGCCCCCCACGACCAACCGGCTTGAAATTGCATGTAGCTCTTTTGTCTCACCTCCACGAAATGAACCACGTAAAGAAAAGCTCCGTTTAGATGACGAGGACTCATCCAAGTATAGGTACAGATTGACACATTGGAGACATCAAAGTCTCAAAAGTCGTACGCAGAGGGGCGTTTGAGGCGAACAAAAAGCAAGAAACGAAATCAGCCCAACGAGAAGCCGCCAGCACAGCCCAAACACCAAAGGATCAACCAGCCACGTCTAACGCGTACACACTGTAGATCTAAAACATCTGCGGCAGCAGTATCCGGTAGGAATCGCAGAATAACAGCTACTATAGCTTACAGCCACGTACTATGCCGTCAATGGATATACCAGGTATCTATACCGCACTCTGGTCAATCTTCTTCTTACGTACCAAGTCCACTTAGCTGCCCCTGCATCGCAGTGCCGCGGCTCCAGTACCCTCTGTCCACGTATATGCGGGCATCTCTGCTTCCCGAAAGCCTTTCGCCCCCTATACAACAACAAACAAAACAAAGCCTCATTTGCGAGTTCCAAAGCATAAATCGGACTGAGCCAATACCTATTCTTAATTCCCGTTGTAACGTCCATACTTTAGCCACTCCGTAAGCCTCCCTAAAAGGGCCGCGCCGTACCTCGCATATACGGGAAGAACGGTAGGTATCTGCATGCATGCATGCACGTACAGCTCTCCCCTTTTCCTCACCCACCGGACACATCACCGCCTTGTCTAAGCCTCTCCCGCTTTTTTACATTTTCTTAGAAAGCTCCTCTCACCGATGGGCTAACCGATCGACTGGTCAGCACGTGTCAAAGTCCGCGTCTGTATCCACTCCGCGAATCGGTTGACCGATCTTGTCCATCTCAGCGTCCCAACATCCAGGTCGAGAGAGGGGCGAGCCCAGGGTCTTTTGCGAGCCAGGGGGTGATGGATATATCGCGTATAGAACAGCGGTGGTGAAAATGGTACCTGGTAGCAAGAAGTAAACGTAGGACAGATATAGGACGGATAAACTCTGACTTCTGCGTATCAACTATGAGTATTCTGTCGTAATACTGTTACGAGACATGAGTGAGTGACGGGCAATTCGCCCACGTGTTTTACGAAGGATATGTGCTACTGCTTCATACAACACTTGGCTGGAGCTGGTATAACTTGTTCAATTCCGATAAATTAGATGGATGCGTTTGAGACGAATCCTTACCCATGCGTAGCCAGTTCAAGGACCGTTATCAGTTTGAAAGCCTAGTTCTTCCAACGAATAGTCCATTCGCATCAGTACCATGTCCCCAATCTGGGAAATATACATGGAAAATGCAACGCTTTGCCTTCTACAATATCAATAAGGAGAAGTTATCCAGCACCCTAATTTCATTATCCATCGCCCCAGCTGTAGCTCAACAAGGCAGCCAGTTCACATTTCAAGATACACGGCTGCCAAATACATTTAAAAGTAGCAGTAGCAACAGTAAGAGCAGTAGGAGTTGTAGCATCAGTAGTGGTACTGGGTAGTAGTATTAGTATGCAAGGTACTATGAGTAACTTCTCAGTACGGAGTACATGCTCCCTAAATAGATTCCTCCTCTCCAACATCCAGACCTCATCCTCTATCTACAAACACATATCAGCTTCCGTCTCTCTCCTTTTAATTTTAGATAGCAAAGCAAACTGCTTTCCCCTGAACGCCAATATCCCTAATCGTGACAAAAACTCTGATTCCACAGGCAATCCAGAGCGAGTAAAATCCAGCCACCTACAAGCAATGATTCATGAACCGCAAGGTCCATCGATTCCCTCCCATGCTTATTTAGGTCCCTCTATGATTGTGATCACCGTAGCCGTACATCTTTTGAGCAGCAGGCCATAGCTAGCTGCGTCTCAAAGCCACCTGAACGATCTGGGGCTCTAACCCATATTGATAGCTTTACGGGAATATTTTTTCTTATCCCCACCTTGAGCACTTGGTGGAGGGCTCTGTTGGGATGACCCGGTGGCGGTTACCTCGTCCTTGCTCTTCTTGCTCTTCTTGCTTTTTGACTGCAAAGGTGTTGAAGCTGCGAGGCTAGAAGAAGGTGGGAGGGGAACTGGCGATTCCTTAGGCCGGGAAGTAAGCGGGATGTTGGGAAGTGGAACAGCTGTCTGCCGCGGCGCAGGTACAGGAGTCTCAGGCTTCGCTTTCTTAGAGGACTTCTTCGCTGCGCTGGGGGTAGCGGCTGCTGGTTTTGAAGGAGTGGCAATAGCGGCGGCTGGTGATGGAATCGCTGGTGGTACAACTGGTGTCTGTTTCTTGCTGATTGTGGGCAGCTCTGTTCCAAGATCAGGACTAGAAGCCCGAGCCACCTTCTGTTTCTTGGATTTTGTCTCTGCAGACTTATTCTCCTCTGCTAGCTGCTGTGCAGCGGCCGAGGCATCATCGTCCGAAACGTTGTGCTTTCTCTTGCCTTTGCGGTCGGCTGTGGTGGTCTCATCGGTGCCTTTCTTCTTATCCTTGCTCTTCGACTTTTTGGTGGATTTTGGAGTCGCCACTGTCTGGGGTGCCTCCTGCATCTCGACATCTTCATCTCCCGGCGAGTCCGCTCCAATATTGCCCATCGGGGTGTTCACGCCAAAGGGCTGGTACCTGGCCCTGAGGCCTTTTGGCTGAGGCCGAGGCGCACGACGAGGTGCAGGGCCAGTGGTCGATGCGCCAGCACCGCCAAGGCTTGTAATTCTCTTGATATGCATAGTTTGATCAACCTGTTGGCCAGCTGGAATTATGAGTTAGCGACTGACGGGCAAACTGGTCATGAGGTAGCTACTAACCAGAATGGTAATTGGAATCGCCGGATGAAGGAATCAAGATCTGAATCGAGCTTCTAGGCGTTGTCGTGTCAAAGGTGGCGCCATAGTCTTGGCCATCATGAGAAAAGACAGGGCCACCGAACTGCGATCGGTCCATAGGGATCTCCATATTTTGGATGACAGATATGGGGACGTTGGAGGGAACTGTAAAGTACCAGACTTGCTTGCCTTGCAAATTTGCTTCGTTGCAGATTCGAGCCACATCTTGTCCATTAGCTCCATCATCTCCCTTACGAAGAGTAAAGTCAGGAGTGATGAATTTCGGAACTCCAAGTTGCTTGTCCATCTCACGGTTAGAAATTTGCATAGATTCGTCAACCTGATCGTCACTCTCTTCTGCTTCAGAAGCCTCAGCCTCAGCTTCAGACTCGGATTCGGATTCGGACTCAGTGTCCATTGATGAATCTTTTAATGCTTTCCTTATAGCTTCGGGGTCTGTAGCCTTGGGTGTTGCAGGTACAGCCTTTAGGGTCTTGGGCGTCGCAGCTACGGGCTTTGCAGCCTTGGGTGTTGCGACTACAGGTTTTGTAGCTTCAGGCTTTGTAGATTCATCTTCGTCGTCGCTTGATTCCTCTTCGCTGCTCTCTTCTTCGCTGCTATCCTCTTCGCTAGAGCTGCTTGAGTCGTCTTTTTTGGCGACCGGCTTGGTACTCTCTTTGGCGGTGGCCTTGGTGGGTTCTTTGGCGGCGCCCTTGGCACCCTTCAGAGCGGCAGGTATGGTGAGCATCTTTGCTACAGCTTTGGATGTCTCATCTTCATCACTCGAGTCGTCTTCGCTCTCCTCTTCAGAGCTGCTGCTGGACGAATCCTGAGCGGCGGCAGCTGGCTTTGCACTCGCTCCGTTTGTCTTCGCTTTCGGCTCACTTTCCTCTGACTCTGATTCGCTGGACGAGTCGCTCGAGGACTCGGACGAAGATTCTTCCTTCTTCAGGAGCTTCTCTTTCTTGGCGGCAGCGGCTTTCTTGGCAGAAGCAGTGCGCTCGACGTCGCTATCGGCGATTTCCTCGTCCCTGCTGCGCCGCTTGGGAGTGGGAGTTGCGGAAGGCTTTGTGCCATTGGCGCCAATCTTCTTAATAAAATTCGTGCTGGGATCTTCGTCGCTGTCACTGTCGCTGCTGTCGCTAGACTCGTCGCTGTCGTCATTGTTTCCGAAAAGGCTGGCATTGGCAAGGCCAGGCTCTTTCTTCACAGGCACAGCAGCCGCCTTGGAACCAGGCCGCCGGTTGTACTGGGCAGAGGCGCTGAGGCCCTTGTTGGTGTCCTCGACATGCTTGGCCAAGGAATGAACCTTGAAGGGCTCTTTGGGCGCCATTTTGGTTGATTTTGTAGTGCAATGCGCCTGGCGGGATGCTCAATGGGAGGAGTTCGAGGGTTTGCTGAACTTTTTTTCTGCGAGGCTCAGATAAATTTTGAGATGCTCTTGATAAGCCCCACCTGACGCGACCGAATCGGGCCAAGTTTGCTCTTAGGTGCGCGCTGATGGCGGACGTGTTTGGAGCTCGGAAAAGTTTTGGCATTTTAGTGCGCTAGAGATCTTATCGATAAGCCCAATTTCAGCAGCTTTGGGGTGCCTATCACAAGGATCTACGGCTTACACTAGAATCTGGGCTCTCTCTCATGCTACTGGCCATATCATTCTGGTAATCTCACAACTCTACATTGTTTATAGAGAACTCATTGTTACGGTGCACTTATACTGAATTCTTCCCTCACTTCTGTGTCTTGTTTATTCTCTATCCATTGTCAGCTGCCCCTTCAGCGGCCATCTCAGCATGTCTTCAAATAAGCGTCGTAAACTCGATACCCCAACTGCTCCTTCATGTAAGTTTGCTAAATACTGTCATGAAAAGCAAGGTATCGGGCTGTTTTAGAGATTTTCGTCTACTAATATTGATCTACAGCAGCAGTAAGCGCTATAAGCGCTCTTGCAGCTCGCCGTCGTATGATCGCCAGCACACCCGCCAAAGAGCCCAGCTCCTCTCCCGAGCCTGAAGAACGACCATCAGCCAGGACAAATTCCTTCAATGTCTTGCAGAAACTGAAAAGTCAGAGTGAACCACCCAAGCCGCCGCCTAAAAGAAACGGGCCAAAAGGTACACGTGGCGAACCAAGGGCCACGGCACAGGGCAGTAAACTCGGGTAGGTTGAACCGACAAGCAAATGGCCCTTCTAATGGTATGATCACGAACTAATGAAGGTCTTTTAATGAAAAAGCGATTCATCTTTACAAGAGACGACAACTACAATTGCTCGAACCGCATTCTCATCTTTCTTACTAAGTAAAAGTAATTGCCGTTCGACTCCACAGGGTACTATTGCGTTGAAACTAAGAGACAGCGAGGTATGTTGGAACTCATCCAGATTCATACTCAAACTGCGCCTAATAGGTTGCATCTAGAGATTTATTGTCATTGGAAGCTTCGGAATTAAGGTTATAGCTGGCGAGGTAACTGTTTTTGGGGCGACTCTTCGACCATCAGATTCCATACACTGGATCCACGCGCCTCATTGTCACGCGATTCCCGTTCTCAGGACCTCGGAAAAGGTCAGCCTCGAGCTTCACAATGACCCAAACGCCGACTCTTTACGGCGACTGAGTCGTTTATCTCCTCTGTTCAAAGGCATATGGAGCGAGTCAAAAGATGGATCTACAGAGACAAGCCTAGGAAGGGGGCGCACGTTCCAGATTGTACGTTTAGAACTTCGCCTCCTCTATCTATATACCTGATCGTTAACTCTTTACAGGTATGCAGCTCCGATGACGCTCCTAAGAAGTGTGTTATACAAGAGCTCTCATCCCCTCCAGCATGGAACAAAAAGCTAGCCGATCTGGTGTCAGTAGCCAAAGGCAGTCCTTTCACGACCCTCGTATGTGGTCCTAAATCTGCGGGAAAGTCGACCTTCTCCAAAATGCTTATAAATCGCATCTTGACGAGCGATGCATCTACGGCTACGCGAACGGGTGTCGCCGTTCTGGATCTGGATCCTGGCCAACCTGAATTTGCGCCTTGCGGAACAGTATCTTTGGTCCAAGTGATCCGGCCCAACTTGAGTGCTGCCTTTACACATCCAGATCTCGAAGATGACTCCTACAAAGTCATTCGATGCCATGCTTTGGCGTCCATAACACCAGCCGCAGCTCCGGATCACTACCTAGAATGCGTGCTGGACCTTCTTGACAGCTACCGAAGACAACTCCGTAACTGCCATCTTCTCATCAACACTCCGGGCTGGATCCTGGGCACTGGTCAAGATTTGTTGGTTGAGATCATCACTCGGGTCAATCCGCCTGAGGTCATTTACATGTCTGAAGATGGCCCTGCGGATGTTGTCGAAGTTCTGCGCGGCGCAACAAAGAAGACCTTTACTACGCTTCCCTCACAGCCATCTGAATTCGCTTCTCGAACCGCCGCTCACCTACGAGCCATGCAAGCCATGTCCTATTTCCACTTGCAAGGCCAGGGCAGCCCGAGTTCTGGGCAGCGGTCAAGCTGGAATTCATCGCCATTGACATCTATTCCGCCTTGGCAAGTCCGGTACACGGGCCCAGAGCGAGGAGTCTTTGGCATTTTACTATACGACTACCAGGCTCCGTCTGAGCTGCTTTCGGAAGCCATCAATGGAATGATCCTTGCAGCAGTTGACATTGAAGACCCTAAAGCATTCCGCAATCTCGCTGATACAGCTCAGTCGCCAACAGATGGCATGGATAAAGATTGCTACTCTGCTATAAACAGCGTCATCTCAAACACGGCTGAAGGACTGCCATACATCTCAAATACCAACGACATCACGCTCGATCCTCGCTTCTCTCAAACCGTCGGTCTCGTTCTCGTCCGCGGCATCGACGTCGCTACCAAAACGCTCCACATTCTCACTCCCATCCCACCCCAGAGAATAGAGCAGATTCGACTGCAGGGCCGACAAATCGTGCTGGTACACGGGAAATTCGATGCACCTACCTGGGCTTACACAGAGGACTCTTACGAGCGCACCCGGCAAGAGGACACTAATGCTGACAAGCCCCTCGAGATCACAAACGAAGACACGAGCGAAGACGAGGACGAAGATGACGTTGGTGATGACGATGGAGAAGACGCCACAATGGGCGATATGCCGCTGGGTCAAAATGCCGGCACTTCAACCGCCCTGCCGTGGGTAGAGGTTTTACGGGGAAATCAGAAGCGGCCAGTTGGGTCTCGTGTGTGGAGAGTGCGGAGAGACCTAGGCCGCAATACCGGTGGTGACTGAGCATAGGGGCAAATGAGTCAAAACATTCTCATCAGCCAAGTACTGTAATGGGTATTATCGAGAAAAAAAGAAGGGAGATAGAAAATTGCGGGTGCTGCGGGGGATTAACCAATGAGCTTTGGAGACAGTGCTAAGAGCGCACAGGGAACGAGTCGCGTCCTTGTTTTAAGACAGACGTTGGTCAGAAATGACCCATGATTACTTAGGCCGAACGTGGGGAAAGCTTTGAACTTCAAAAAGGTTTGTCATGGCTTCGTAAACGCAACACAATAGACTTGATATATATAGCAGCAACGCAAGTGACTATGAGAATGTAGAGGGCGAAATATATTTTATTTTATCTACAACGAGGAAACAATTGAATCAAATAACGTCTTGACTTTAATCTCGCCGACTTTCTTAACCGAGTATCAAGGCGTCTACATCGCGCACTGCCAATATGGAAGCATCCAAGGTCGATGTGCTCATTGTCGGCGCCGGTCCCGCGGGTCTCATGCTCTCCCTTTGGATGGCCAAGCTGGGCATCAAGACGAGAGTAGTAGACAAGCGAACGGGCAAAATAGTCTCTGGTCAAGCTGATGGGTAAATACATCTTTTCTCTTTTCTCTCTTATGCAAGAGTGAATGAAGGCGGGGTAGAATAGTGGCATGTATCAGAATCTAATGCACGCAATCATCACAGCTTTCAGTGTCGTACCCTAGAGATTTTTGACAGCTTCGGAATTGGCCAGAAAGTATGGCAAGAGGCGAATCACATGCTAGGTGAGAGACACGCATCATCAATACTGTTCAGTAGTGGGAAGTGCACGTAAGCTAATAAAGGAGAATTCACTTTCACGCAATACAGAGGTCAGTTTTTGGAACCCAGGCGAGGATGGCAAAATTCGACGCCACCATCGCGGGCCCAACACTCAGCCGAATCTCTCACGATTCACCGAGTCTGTGCTACAGCAAGGCAGGGTCGAGAGCTTCCTCATTGACACGATCAGAGCATCTGCCTCCCCGAAACACCCGCTTGTTGAGATTGAGCGGAGTGTTATGCCGACAACACTGAGCATCGATGAGAGCTGTGTGAATGATGAGGACGCTTATCCCGTGGAAGTTACGCTGCGGCATCTAACAGAGGAAGAAGCTACGCCGACGCAGAGGCTAAGCAATTTGCAAGACGGACTGTACAGAAGCAATCTTGCCGAGGATGACACTGATAAGCTTATTGCCACTACGCAGGGAGTCAGGGAGGAAAAGGTGCGGGCCAAGTATGTGGTGGGATGTGACGGAGCGCATTCATGGGTAAGAAAGACACTGGGCGAAGGATTTGAGATGAAAGGCGAATCAACAGACGCTATCTGGTGAGTTTCTTTGATCCAAAGCGTACACCAATAGCAACGCTAACAACTTGCCAAAAGGGGAGTGTTGGACATTGTCCCAATTACAGACTTTCGTAAGAGCTTTCCCTAGAACCGATGTAGTCCATTGAGAGAGAGACTAACAGGGGACGGCAGCGGATATCAGAAGCAGATGCATGATCCATAGTGCCGAGTTCGGAGCCATCATGATCATTCCGAGAGAAAACAAGCTTGTTCGAGTGTACACACAGCTCAAGGAAGTATCCACAGGCACTGGTCGAGTGGACAGATCACAAATCACGCCTGAGCTTATCTTGCAAACGGCGAGAAAGATCCTGAGTCCATATACCCTTGACTACCACTACATCGACTGGTAAGTCTCGCCTGTCCTGGCGGCGTTTGATTACGCCGACTGGAGGAGGAGCCTATCAGGCGGATACACGAAGTGCTGCATGCTAAATGGAACATTGACAGGTGGACCGCATATCAAATCGGGCAGCGAGTCGGCGATCGGTTCAGCAAACACAATCGAGTTTTCCTTGCAGGAGGTGAGCAGAACGACCTCCTATTGCGTGAAAGAGGGCGGAGCCATCAGGTCTGTTAACACACGCCACCCAGATGCGGTGCACACGCACTCCCCCAAGGCCGGCCAGGGTATGAACGTCTCGATGGGAGACACGTACAACCTTGGATGGAAGCTGGGTCTCGTCTGCAAGAAATTGCTGCGGCCGGAAGTCCTAGATACATACGAGCTGGAGCGGAGGCAGATTGCAAGGCAGCTCATTGCGTTTGATCACAAGTTTTCTAGACTGTTCTCGGGACGGCCCGCCACAGACGACTCCAGTGAGGGGTCATCCATGAGCGAATTCCAAAAGGCGTTCCAGGAAGCACAATTGGTAAGCGGAACCTCCCTTTGCCTGGCAGATACTAGGTAGTTGGAATCTTCCCGGCCCTGAGTGGTGGCGAATGGGCTGTCCAGCCCTCACCGGAAATTGAAATGGAAGGTGTTGTCCAGATTGGGCAATGGAAGCTGGCTGCTACTGGCTGCAAATCTTGTTTTTCTTCTCTCGCTAATTTGGACCATAGTTTATCACGGGCGTGGGTATCCGCTACCAACCAAGTCTCCTCGTATGCAGGGAAGACGGCGACGCTGGAGGAGACTTGGGGGGAGGCCTTCAAGCTGAGACAGCGCCACAGAGCTCGGCGGCAAGCTCAGCCGGGCTGGCCACAAACTGCAAGCCAGGCACACGGTTTGCATCGCAAAAAGTCATGGCCCAGTCCGACGCTCGGCCATGGGAGCTCCAGCTGCAGATGCCGTCGGATGGACGCTTCCGCATCGTCGTCTTTGGCGGCGACATCTCCCAGGCCACGCAGCTGGCCACGGTCAACGAGCTCGGCGCCTGGCTGCAGGCCAATCTGCTGTCGCCAGCAAAGTCGCCGCGCATCAGCCTCGCCCCTGGTCCAGACCCGCGGGGAGGATCAGGCTCGTCGCAGTGGATGACGGATCAGGACCCGTCCATTGTGGACGTGCTGCTGGTGCACGCGGCGCCGCGGGAGAAGATTGAGCTCCTGCAGGACTTGCACCAGGTCTACCATCCCTTTGACAAGAAGCTCGGGTGGGACTATGGCAAGGTGTTTGTCGACGGCCAGACGCATCACGAGGGCCACGGCAGGGCGTACGAGCAGTTTGGCATTGATCCGGCCCGCGGAGCCGTTGTTGCGGTGCGTCCCGACGGCTACATCGGGCTTGTGACGGCGCTGCAGGGAGAAGAGGGCTGGAAGCAGCTGCAGACGTGGTTTGGAGGACTGCTGAGGTCGGTCTGAGTTGGATGGGAGATTGAAGTCGGGGTGGTGGATGCTAAATTGCGAGTCTGAGATCAACAATGGGATCTGACCGATTACTGGCGCTGGATTCCTGGTTTTACGGGGGACAAGAGCGCTAAAACGACGCTGGGCTAGCGTTTTAGAGCCATCGGCGTGCGCCTTGCTCGATTGGTAACTGAGAGCCGAGACGAAGGCAACGTCATGTGAAGGCAGCAAACGTGCGGCTGAGGGCCTGGAGCACATGGGGGCCTTGGTCCAGAACAGATAGACCCTGTAGAGGTACAATGTTTGGTATCCGATGGACTGCATGAATGAAAAAATCTTTGTACGTGGCTTGGATCATGGTTGTTTTCTCAATTGCTTTGCGAGCAGTCATATGTGCTTTCTGTTTCCCGTTTGGGCCATATGAACGTCGTTTGATTGGTGCACGCAAGCACATGCATGTAGTTTGAAGCCGAGAGGAATCATCTGAGCTGTGGTATAAGCCGCAGTACCTACTCAACTATAGCAGCAGCAGTAGCAGCAGTAGCAGCAGTAGCAGCAGTAGCAGCAGTAGCAGCAGTAGCAGCAATAAGAGTCCTCTATTCGGCGAGACATGCGTCTGTTCCATCTCCACTGCGCCGATAGCCTGGCACGCACTTCGGAAAGTGAGCGAGCAAAAAGCAAGATCAGGGGTTGCATTATTCTAGACTCTGGTACGGTGTTAAATCCCCCGAGATCTTGTCGTACTGCTTTATAGGCCGCCCAAGCCGGTACATGTGGTAGTACGTTCTGTTATAGGTCGGTACCTCATTGATATATTGACCTCCTTCCTAGGATAGTAGCAGACGAGGTCTACATGCATGTGCCTATGTCTTCTGTCTCCTACCGAGCAACTTTCACTCACAGTATCCGATGTCCTGTTTTCCATAATAGGCTGGCTACATGTGCATATGCTGGTTAGCGAGAGCGGCATGGGCTGGAACGACAATGGATCAAGTTCTAACGGTCCTGCAAGTGCGGAGCAAATACGACGCTGTAAGTGAGGCTGGCCAGGATCTTGTGCGCTAGCAACTGCGCGGGTAGCGCCATGCGAGCAACTCCATAAGAGACAAAGGCCCAATTCTCGCTGCCGCCACCATGCAGGAGAAAATGATCTCGGAGGATCAAAGCGAGAAAATATAACGGCGAGGACCCTCCCATGCCAACAATAAATGGATGGGCCGGATGCGCCATTGGATGTTAGCCAGACAGGGGTCTCTCTACTAGCTTCAACGGTCTTGCATCGTGCAGCGAAGCCTGACGCTCTTTGTATGATGCGCCTGGACTGCGCTTGAGTCGAGACACGACTGCCTACTGGCAACAGGGATGGGACCTGTAGACGTGCATCAGTATTGGGGGCCGTTATGGCGAAAACAATAGTTTTCAAGAGCGACAACTGCGCTATAACAGGAGGGCATCGAATCAGAGCCGCCACTGGCCTGGACAGTCACCGAAAGACACGGGCTGGATGAAGGGCCCGCTGCGGGACTGGAAACGGTGCCGATAGAGGAGGTTGAGCAATCACCGTCTTATGAGACGCCCCGAGTTGTCTGCTGCTGTTTGTCTCTGCTGGTATGGGATAGATTGCTGATGCCACTCGATAGGGGGCTTGACCTTTCTGCGTGTTTCTCTCATGCGTCTTATTTCCCTCATCAAGGCTGAGATCAAGCCCGGGCTCTTTGAAAACCTGTTGAAGTATATATATCGAGCGAGTTGCCCGAACACAAGGTCCAGAACCACAACCACACTCCACTTCGCCTCATCTCGTTTGATCTCATCTTATCTCTCCGTCCCCCGGAATACACTCGGTATTGCCATACTGTCTCTACTGCTAGACTGTGCACTAAGACAAATCCCATAGTCCGCCAAATCTCCCCCGCTGGTGTTGCCACCACCGACCGACACCATCCACCAGCTCCACCGGCCAACCGGCTTTCGGTTCAACTACCGAGACGCCCGTTTATTCACCAGCTTTAGATCTGCCCTCCGCCCGCTGCCGTTCCGTTGCTGGCCATATCCCCCCCTTTCTTTCACATTCTTTTTATAAAAAAGATTCCTTTTTTCTCTAGAAAGATTCTTCATCGACATGCCGGATGCGGTTGCAGAGACAACTCCGTGCATCCAAGCACAGGATGCTTTGGTGACTGGGGACTTTCAGAGCGAGACCCAAACGTTTATTCGCTCCGCCTGCACGGAGTGTAAACGGCGGAAACAAAAGGTGCGTGAATTTCAATGCCTAATCTTGTGTAATAATACTGCTCGTCAATAATTCTACGTACCCTCATTCTTCGATCCTCCAAAATTTGCCGTCATCTGTTGACTAACATGTCCCTAGTGTCTCCGGCATTGGCCATGCCAACATTGCGGCACTAGACGAGTTGGAAACCAATGTATCTTTCGGACAGTCCTTGATGTTCAGTCCGTCGATGAACGCAAGGCTCAGATAGATGATTTCGTATCACGGATGAAGGGAAAATGCTGCTTTTCCCATCCCCCCGATGGAGAAGGAGTGGACGATAATGATGACAGCACTGAGAAGGATCTCGAGCAGTTTGGATACGCCCCTACCATGAATTCGGAGGTACGTGGGTCTTGATCGATGCCATCAAGGCAAATTTTATTTATGGGACATGTATTTCATTAGAAGGAGTTATAATTCAACGTACAATTACCTAGGAGGTCTGCTGACCTTCAGCAGTTACAAACTGCTCTCCAAGCCTTGCCGTCCAGACAGTGCCTTGGTATGTTGTCTCTTTCTTTACCTTTTCAAGCATGAAAAAATCGCACTTAAACTCTGCTTTATCCTCTTCAAATTAACTAAGTGATTATTGAACGTAGATGCTCTGGTGGACCACTTTTTAGCCGATGTTAACTACCGCTACTATATCATTCATCCTGCGAAGTTTAGACAAGAGTACAACCAATGGTGGACTGATAGAGACAATGGAAAGCCCCTCGGACTTCAGTGGACCTCCCTTCTTCTAATGGTCTGTGCCTGTTCAGCTCAGCACCCCAGCGATGCAGTTCGACAAGTCCTCCGGGCAGACAAGGCCCCACCGGCTCTTGAACTGTCAAATAGGCTTCATGGTGCAGCCTGTGAGCTTCACAGAGTCATTCCTCCAGACGCTTTGAATCTATATACAGTTCAGCAATTGCTTCATTCATTCTTCTGGCTCAAATCCAGGTCTTGCTACACCGACTGCTGGTATACTTTGAAGAAAGCATTTGTGGTATTCTGTGGACTAAACGAACTGACCTTCGCCGCTGGCATTGAGAAACAGAATCGTTCTGACAGATTTTCAGCTACCATTTTCAATGAGGACCCCAACTATGTCAAGGAAATGGGCAAACGGGCTTGGGTTGTCATGACCAGCTGGAACTGGTAAGCGATTTAACCGAACATCTCCCCTGGCTGTATAAACAATCCAACGCTAAGTAAGATATATCTAGGCGACTTTTGGCTATCATGTCATGCCCTCTTTTGTTTTCACCTGCTGAATGCAATGTTGAGCTACCTAATTTGCGATTGGGTGAGCAATCAAGAGAATCTGGCCGCTCTCCCATCGTGTTCATGGCTCTTCAGTGCATGCTTGCCAATAGGCTCTTGGAGAGATACGGCCCATTTCCGTCTTTTTACAAAACTGTGGAGCCCAAATATCCATTTGAAGAGCATATATCTGGCAGTGGCAGAAATTACAAGGCCTTTGACGAAGAGGGTTCTGAGAAAGAAGACTACGAGCCTCCACGTATGCCAGACCACATGCCAGACAACATTTCTTGGCGTGATACGTCTACTGAATTCGATGCCAATATATGGGCCGCCTTGCAAGATTTCATTCTGTCCATTATGCGTCTATCATCGACACTGGACGCTCTCCGTCCGCACCTTATTAGGCCGATGTCGCAAGCTTCCCCGGTCACGGACCTACGATCTCGACAACAGGCTTTAAGAGTAGCTCTCAAATATTTGAACTGTCTATTCAAATTTCTTCGGTTCGTTTTTCCAGAAGATTCAAGTTATCATATTATAATATACTTGATCTTCGATGTGGCTACGCTTCTGTGCTCTGCAGTTTTGCATGACAGCGATTCAAGCATGCCGACGCGTGTTACAAGCTGGGAAGCCGTCCAAAGTACATTATGTATGCTGAAGAAGCTAAGCAGCAAAGTACCAATGGCAAAACAGGCTTTTAAAGTTCTCAGTCCCATCTACAACGAAATGTTGAAGCAGTCGACAAAGGATGAAGATGTGCACCAAAGAAAGAGGCCGAGACTGATGAACCCAGACGGCGCCGAAGCAAGGAGAGATTCCGTTCTCATCGGACAAAGTAATCCTCGTCGCCCTAAAATTTACAATTTTACTTTGGATTTTCCCAAAAGGGACCGAACCGGTCGTTTCAGAGTATATTCTCTCTATCCTTTCTCCAACAACATGCGCTTCTACATGGACCCTTTCGCCACTCAGACTATACCGCCAAAGTGGGAAAGCGATGATATAACCACGACGCGGCTACAATTGACTCAGAGGACACTTGGAGCTCTACTTCCCTCTTTACCGTCTCCAAAAGATATAGAGGCCGCAGATGAAGTCAATCATGTCCCCGAAGTTAAATATTCCTTGGAGGATACGCCGCTGGGTATCATGGAGGGATTATGGGATTATGGCCGTGTGAATTTGGAGTGTCTGTCGCCGCAGCTTGATCATTGATGGCGTAGATAGAACGGTTTGGAGCATAATGAAGACTGCCCTCCGGTTGAGATAGGTGAGCGCGGACTTGGTGTTGCAATTTGATTGTAGTTTTAACTACTTGAAACAAGATATCCTTTCCCCTGATACGTCAGATACTATTGCGACTCGGCTCCTATACTCTTTAAGTATTCAGGCGGGGATATCAATTAAACAGTGCAAGAAGCAGCAGCAGCAGTAGTAGTAGTAGTAGTAGTAGTAGTAGTAGTAGTAGTAGTAGTAGTAGTAGTAGTAGTATATGCGTATGATTGGCTTTAAATTTATCATAATGCCTACAAGTAAAAGGTTCAAAGAACTTCCTTTTGATATGCCTATGTAATAACATACATTATGGAAAAATATTATGAGACCACAGTCAGCGTTCTAGGGTTGGCCACAAGCCCAGCCTTTCCCTAACACCGAATGGAGTCAATCCTGCGACGATACTTATGGAATTTCGTGCTCGTGTATATAGACGACATTATAATCTTCTCGCGAAACCTGGAAGATCACTTCCAACATCTCGATCAGATACTGGGGGCTCTCGCTAGATCGGGCCGTACAAAACAGCTTCTTCGCTCAGCCGGGACTGAAAGCATTGGGATACTACATTTCACGCTTGGGATTGAGCACCCAAGAAGAGAAAACGGAGGCAATCCGCCAACTGAAAATGCCAGAAACCCTCAGGGACCTAGAAACTGAACTCAGACCCATGGGATATTACCGATATTTCTTGTCTTCGTTTCTTGCGTGTCTCCCGAAATAGAATCTTTGACAAGATCTACGACAATAGTTAGTCTTACTCTCCCAAGTTACGGTGTGTCTCTCTAGCATACAGTGCCAGGGTGTGCTAGCTTTGGATGTCGCTGAATATGTTATCATCCAAATCTAGCCAATCACTCAATCCGCAATGCACATACATAGCTAAAAATGAAACAAATAAGGGCTCCTTGAGGAAAGAATGCAGCTGAAAGTGTCATCACTGGGATTGAAGTAAATGGGTGAGCTGCCCACTCTTACGTGGAGTGCGGATAGCCTCGGTCCGGCGCCGTCGCATCGCGGGTCCAGGATCCCCGGATAGAGATGAATGAAGTCGATTTAGAGTCACTGCGCATCGTTGCTAGCAGCACGGAACAGCTCCCCGTATGCAGCGATATGTTAGATCTGCTGACAAAGCTCTACGACAAGGAGGCTAACCGGGTCGCCTGGCATCCCCGCATTGACTACCGGAGGATCGCTGGGGACTTCATCTCTAGATCGTAGTGTTGTGGAGGCCACGAAGCTCGAGTTGGTAGGCACCTAGTTGAAGAGGATGCATAAATCTTTTTTACAAGTTGCCTTGTACCAATTACCTGGGTACATCGATGTCTGAGAGGAGCAAGTTCTTCTGCTTCTCTGCCATTGTCACGCAACCAATATTGTTGTCTTTTCCCATGTGGATATAGCGTTTGATAGATACGTAGCATCTTCAGCATATGTATAGGAGTAATTCGTTTCGCGCCATGTAGGGATGAGGTAAACTGAACAATGCCGACTGATGATACAATACGGCAGACATTACCAAGCACCTTCTTTATCTAGAGAACAGCTTAATCACATTTGTACGCATTGCCTGCGCGGAGTTTTGGATGACTTTCAGGGAAGATTCGGCTAAAGAACTGCCTTATTCATACTATTTGCAATGTAAGCGTAGATCAAGCAGGGCATGGGGGTATAGGCAGATACCATATGGAAGGTACTTACGCTATATGTTAATCGCACTGACGAAGGAGAGAACAATAGTAACAACAGATGTCAAGGAGAGACAACTATCTTCTTGATAGAAAGGTATAGATTCGTTCTCGAGTGGTTTATCCGGCTTGTGGTGAAAGCGGACCGAACTTCTATACATTGAGTTATCAGGATATTCGTAACGCTACGCGTAGTCGTGGTAAAGAGTGAGCCCTGTTTGCTATGTTGTCAAGGCTCATTATGTTTTTTGTAGCTGTTGATCAGCTAACTTGGGAAAACCTCCCAGACTAATGATGGACAGAATAGTATGAAAGAGCTTCTTTCTTTGCTCTCTTCTTATCGTCACATGGTCGCATGAATCTCATATAAGGTGCTCAGAAAATTGTTGAGAAGCCCCTGCAGTACCCCTCTTTCAGGACAGAGTTATCATGGTGCTGGTTGTCCTTTTTTTTTTCCGTTGAAAAGAAATAAGAGAAAACAAAAAGGAAAGGAAAGAAACGAGAAGAAGCGAACTATAGTGTCGGTGGCAAGGGTTTGCCCGAGCAGCCACACCAATACATACCGTGTTCGTGTTCCATGCCGGGAAAAAAAAGAAAAGAAAAAGGAGGTGAGATTACTGGGCTACCACTAATTAGAGAAATTTTCTCTATTTTCTTTTCTTTTTCCACAGGTTAGATGATCGCTGCTGCTCCAATAAGTTGCCAGAATACCGACGGCTTCCATAGCTACATACAGAGGACGCGCATGTATACCGAAAGCAGCAGGTGTGGTAATCCATACACCCTGTACACGAAACGAGCGCGAGGGGCGAAGATGTCGAGAGCGTGAAGCCAAATCCCGGGCACAGGGGCGTACGCCGGATGTCGAGTACGTGTATGCACCTACACGGATGCCGTAGAGGCGCAAAATATAAACATTCGACGCGCTATGTGCGGCAGGTCGAAGTGAAAGCAGCGCTATGGACTACACATAGCCTTTGAGGCGTGCGAATTGAAGAGCATAAGAGACGAAAGCACTTTGGCGGGCGGATTCACTCCTTGACGGAGGCCGAGGCAACTTGGCAGTTCGATAGGTGTCTTTGTGTTGCTTGCCTATTACCTCGTTAAGCGTGCCCCGAGCCTCGTGTTCTCATACAATCAAGCTCTCTATCAGTCATTGTAGAAATGCAGGAGACTGTTGGAAGCTA